CATCGGCATCCATCCATCCATCGTTGAGATATTTGCACGTGAAATAACAGGAAGTGATGTCAAAGGGGAAAGTCTGCATGTGAATATTTAAAAATATATATTTTTACCAATTATTTTAATATTTGAAATGAATTACAGTCATCCTATTTACAATGTGTTCACATTTTTAAGACTTCTGAAAGATTGATTTAAGATATTTTAAGGCTAATTAAGGCCTTATTTTTGGATTGATGAATTCAATGACTTTTAAGACTTTTTAAGGATCCGCAGGAACCCTGTAGAAATATTTTTGTTTTTCTCTTTATAAGGACATCAAAATTCTTCAATAAAATTATAAAATTAGGGAATCAGACCAAATATTTATGTATTATTGTAACCAACAAGACAAATTAAGTCATATATGGATTTACTTATGATATCAGGATGATCCAGATGTCAAAATGTAGTTTTTAAAGCAGGAATCTGTAATTTTAATTAAGTCTTTTTGACCAAATTTCACTGAATCCTGATTASGATACGATGAGTCACATATGGAACAGATTTTGTTCCTTTCAGCTGAAAAGAGTGATTCAAACAATGCGCTCGGCGCTCGTTTCTTACCTAGAATGACTTCCGGGGCTCGGTAGAACCTGGACTGGATGTAGGTGTAAACCCTCTGATGTTCGTAGCAGCTGGATCCAAAGTCTATGACCTGCCGGAGGACAGACAGAACCGTTTGTCGGGTTGTACCGGAGACGAAGCTTGCCGTGGCGAGAGCCCCCGTCCTACCTTGATGCCGCTGCGCCCCTGCTGCTTCAGTAGGATGTTCTCGGGCTTCAGGTCGCAGTGGATGATGCGGTTCTTGTGCAGAGCGTCCAGGCACTGCAGGATGGAGTGGGCGAACTTCCTGACCAGCGGGAGGCTGAAGCCCTGGAACTTGTTCTTCTTGATGAGCTCGTAGAGGTTCATGCTGAGCAGCTCGAAGGTCATGCAGATGTGGTTCCTGAAGGTGAAGTGCTCCAGCATGTGGATCACGTTCATGCTGGAGTCCTTGTCCTGCTTCCTCAGGTGCTCCAGGATGCGGATCTCCTCCGCCGCCTGCCGGTGGAAGCGCTTCTCGTTGCGGACCATCTTCAGAGCCAGGTGGGTCTGAGTCTTATGGTCGAAGGCCTTCACCACCTGCAGGGGGGGCGGGGAAACCCATCAGACGTGAGGACCAGAAAKTGACGGCTGGAAATCTCATTTAAAAACAGGAAACGAGAGCTACCTGTCCGAAGCTGCCCTTCCCYATCACCTTCAGGACTTCGTATCGGTAGGCGATCTGGTCGTGCGGAACCTGGATGTAGGACCCGTGRTCGTCGTCGTAGCCGCCGTTGTTGGCTCCGCCCAGAACCCCCGTCTTCTTCTTCGCATTTGGTCCGATGAAATACACTGAGCAGAACGGAACCAAAGCCAGYGTGAACGAGAGAAACTGCTTTTCCTGTGAAAACGCTCGTGTGAATGCTTTTTGCTGAAAACTTCAGCTGCTGAAATTGAACTGAAAATAAAAGTGAAAGTGTTTTTGAGAGTTGAAAGAAGCAAAAAAAAAAGCCTAACTTTGCAGAAAAACAGTAAAAAAGGAGCTAAAATATAMTTGACAAAGCAGAAAACATAAAAGCTAAAGAAGCTGAATATTGCAGAAAACAGAAAAAAGCCAAAGAATAGCAAAAAGAAGCTGATATAMAGTTAAAATAGCAAAAAAATAAAATAAAATTAGCATGAAATAAGCTAAACGTGGAATTAGCACCCAATTTTTTTTTAATGATTTGTATTGATTGTATTTTTTTGTATTATTGGCAAATTGTATGTAGCTGAGTCATTTTAACCTTGTTTTGTATAACCTTTATTTTTATCAAGTCCAGGGACAACAGATGAAAAATAGGCTTTGGCTAACTCAGGCACATTTACAGAAATGTCAATTAATGTGCATTGTACCTTCTAATAAATAAATTTAATTAAGTATATTAGCTACAATCACTGTAACAGCTACAAAATCTGTGTAATTAGCTTAAAAAAGCTAACTTTAGCTAATAACAGTGGAAAATTAGCTAACGATGCAGCAAATGGCTGAAAATAGCAGAAATCGTCTGTAAGGAGAATTAGCACAATTAGCAGAAAAATGCAGAACAATAGCAGAAAGAAGCTGAATTTTAGCTAAAATAGTGGAAAAAAGCTAAACTTAGCAAAAAAYTAGCTAAAATTTGCACAAGGAAGTGAAAAAGAGCAGAGCCAGAACAAAATATGTAAGAATCTGTAAAGATTTATTAACATTTTAAAGCATTTTAAGGATGTTGAAAACAGCTCCGTTCATTTTCAATGGTAAAAAAGTAGCTAAAAAAGTGAATTAGCTAAAAAAGTAAGAATAGCTGAAATAAAAAAGTCATTGCAGAATTGTCATAAATGAGCTGAACGTTTTGATGTGTGAATTGTTGAAATAGCACAAAATTTGTGTAACGAGTTAGATGATGAAAAACGTAAAGAAAAAATGATAGTGTGAATAAACGTGAGGCGTCACACAACGATTGTGAAGCGTCACACAATGATTGTGAAGTGTCACACAATGATTGTGAAGCGTCACACAATGATTGTGAAGCGTCACACAATGATT